TGGGGCTGTGTGACTGCTGTTACCACCTACATCTACTAGCCAACCAATAGAAATGCAGCACGAAATGACGCACTGGCACTAAAGGAGCTCGTTCTCACTCCAAAGTTGTCGAAATCCGGTGTTTGGGCAGTGACTTGCGGCGTCAGAAACCAACGAAAAAGGAGTCTTTTAACGTCAGCATGATATGCGGCTGGTTGCCGTTATAATTTAACAGCCTGGCGGTGTCAGGGGGAAATGTGGCACGATGCTGACGAAAGTAAAGGCTGCAGAAGTCCAACTGTGGTGGGCGGAAGTGGTGGATGGGTCCAACAAACACCAACTTTCACCTGAGAGAGCAGTGCCCACATCCCATAAGATTCTAAAGCCAAATCCTGTTCTTTTTTCCTAAACCTAACCATGTTCTTTTGTTCCATAAACCCAACCCTGTCTGTCAATTTGCAGTATTGTACTGATGTAGTGCAGTTATTTTGAAAGAAACTGTACATAAACTATAAATTTCCTGTGAAAACAGACGTGTATTTTGAAAGAACTTGACACGGTGTCCCAGAACGTCAACAACCAACGCACCAAGGGTACCTTGCATGTCGTATGTGGACGTGGAATTCCATGACCAAACGTCGATATGTGACAAGGTTGGAGTGAGAATTGTTGGCTGAACCCAAACAAACATAAGGATAGCAGCTTACCATGGAGGCAAAACACGCTAAATGTGTGGGATTTCAGCAAAGCGGAAAACCTTGTGGAGTTGTTGCAGCAGAAGCCTTGCCTGTACAATATTACCTCCAGCTCTTACCATGATCACTTAAAGAAGGATGAAGCATTAATAGCGGCAGAGTTGCATCTGTCAGGTGAGCAACCTAGCAGCTAGCAAACACACACACAGGGACACACTGCAGTCTATAGTGCCTACAAAACTTTAGGTTGTTTAGTAATGTGACCCCCTATGTTGTGTTTCACCACTGGAGAAGTAATAACCTTTGCAGCATCCTTACACAGTCAGTATTGGAAGCTATTGCATCGTACGTCGTAGCCTGTGATTCAGGAAAAGACTGCCAACGTACAGTCTGCACACATCAAACTTAATGTCATACCCAAGTTTATTAGGTCCATGTCACACAGTGTAGCTGCACTAAACTAATAAGATTGGTAAAATCGCACAGTCTGTAGGAGGCTTAAAGGAGTTCTCCAGCTAAGTACTGCACTTCCATTACATTAGGGGGCTGGAGAGAAACAGATTCAAATATAAACGGCAAACGACAACAGTAGCATCCTGTAGTTTATCCTGTAGTATCAGCATGGACTGTATAATGGACGTAGCCACCATGATGTCACCCTTTGGTTTGTGAACTCCCATTTTGAACAAGCCTCCAGAAAGTGCGCTGGACTTTACAGGCACTTTCACACAGTGGCCAAACCATCTAGCAGCATCATCAGGGTCCATCATGTGATGCTTTTGTCACTGGCTTACAGTAGCAAAGAAACATCTGTAAATTAGTGGATACATTTTTTTAGACGTCAGAACCCCCGCAAATTGATTAGTTTCGCTATCAGGATATGATCTGTTGACATTTCAAAAGTCTAGAAGAACCACATGATTAAATCATTTTATCCCCATTTTCTAATGATCAGCACAGAACTGGAAGTAGCCAGCTTGGCAGGCAAAGTCTCCAGTGCGCTTGTTCTGTGGGTTCAGTGATGCCGAAGATCCAGGTAGTTTTACACTCTGAATTTTTTTGGCTTTATGCACCACTGAGCAACTTACATAGGAAAGAACAGGGCCCCGCCTTCAGTGGTGCCTCCAGTTTGGCATTTTGGTCGTCACCATCATGGATTCTTAGAGCCAAAATATGACCTGATGTGACTATATTTGGAGGAGAGGGTGGTTATGTGACTTGAATAATCTGAGGTGATGCCGAGCAGACATCCTGTGCTAATAAAATTTAGACAAATGAGTTACATAAAAATTCTTCCCCTGTACAGTTGATTTGAACGCTGATAGCTTTACACACCAAAACTGTTACTTATACAAGGCTGTACACATGTTTATTTCTGCTGTGAAGTTGAGCCAGCCTCAAGTGGCCATTTGAGGAACTGCAGTTTTTGGGACTTTCGCATTGGCTTTATTGTTCAGCCCTGGAGGTTGCTGCTTGAATACAAGTCATGCCCCCAAAACCCTTAACTCCAACATTTCCCATAATGAAACTTGACAGCGTCTTTCATTAGACCCCCTCGCCCAACCCCACTTGGATAAACAGCACAAACTCCACACCTCCAGTGTGTAACTCTAGCTTTCTGTTTAAGTCTCAAGTCCAAACTGCTTTAGATTATTTTCTCAGGCTTTAGAGAGCTACTCCGCAGCCACAGCAGACATTATACAGATGTTTTGCAGGCTGTATGGTAGACTGAACATGTGCACAAATCAGCTCCTTGATAAAATCTTGGTGGTGCTTTAAGGTGTTCGTTTTATTTTGTGTCAGATGTTGAATGGCACTTTGCAGATAGAGCTTCAACTTGAAGTGGTCATATAAAGCTTTCCAAGGTAGAGTTTGTTGAAGTGTTAGTGTATGGGATTGATTCATATGATAGAAGCATCAGTGTTGTCGTGCACTGTCCCCTGGTACATTCAACATGTATTTACAGTGTTTATGTTCTATGTATTTGTAAGCATCGCTTGGTTTCACCTGACTGGATATGTAAAAAACTTTGTGACCTGTTATTACTAATTAATTTTTTTGTTTTTAAAAGTCTGGCTCAGAGACCTAAGGAGGGCTGTGGGAAGGAAAATGTTCTGGTATTATGCTACTTCAAAGCCACCTGAAGCCCTTTTGAACAAAAGACAGACTGAAAGAACGAGTACAACCGTGAATTAATCTAAAACGCATCAAAGCGTGTCAGATTAACCCGACACATAATTTTTTCCTTGTGAGAAAACCACTTTAAACAATGTACATGTGAAGGAAGCATCTGACAGCTGCTAATTCACGACACAACTGGACATCTCTGTCTAAAAACTTGGTTCAAATGATCAACAGTAGCGGAGACAATGTTGTTTGATTGCAAAGAGTCTTTTTATTTTTCCTTGTGTTCAAGTACGGTCCTCTCTCAGCAGGGTCATCTAAGAAGCATGGACACACAATAACACACAACTCGCACCAGAGCCTGAGCATCTTCAGGTGGGGTTTCTCTTTTGTCTCGATTGAGGGGGGGGGGGGGGGGGGGGGGGGGGGGGGGGGGGGGGCTGATCAGCAGCTTCCACGTTTAGGTCAAGTGAACAAGAGTCCTGTTGTACACCACATAATCATTTTTTCTCTGCGAACATTTGTTGCATTTAGTGACACTGACATCTGCACATAAAAATTATATATATATATTTATATTTATATTCATATATTCATAGATTTGTCATTCTATATCAACAATTCATTCTAGTGATTTTTACCTTGGTTTTTCTTGTTGTAAAACTGGACAAACTGTCGGTAGGAATGCCTTGTTTGGACATTGATTTATACAGGAACGCACATACACGCAACAGAGGCACACACGCACGCACACACACACACACACACGCTACTACACACATGCATGCATAGATACGCTCGCTCAAGTTTACGTTTACACACACGGGCCACGCATTCTGTCACATACATGCACACGTACACAAACGCACGCACGCACACGTGTCCCCACACAAGCACGCCCACACATGCTCAGCCAACACAGAGAGGCAGGTCTGTACATCTATGGGAGGGAGATGTTACCCATGATCCCCAGCAATAAGTACAGCTTCACCTGATCAAAACACAAGAAAATAAACGTTACAAACAGCAGAGGGAGTCATCCAGTCATTGTCTGTAAACTTCGACAGAATGTCCCTTTAAAGTCCATGAGGACTGGTCCACGAGGTGTCAAAGTTTGGCACAATGTCATGTCTCTCTCTGTCTCTTTATCTCTACTGTACACTGAAATGTACAATAGTCATGGTGGCTCTTGTCGGACAGACCAGTTTTTATGCACAAGTGATGATGAGAAACCACTGAGAGTCGACATGGTCAGACATATCAGCTCCCCAAAAGGAAAAGACGACCCTTTCCAAAGACAGAGAGTGTGCTTTAAACATACACATAGATTCTTTAGGCAGTGAAAAAGCACTTTTGTTGACAGGGACTCTGGAGCGATGCTGCTCTGCCAATCTGATGCTCTGGCAGCCTTGAACTGCTCTTGACGTTTGAGCATGTCCACAACGAAATTCATTTGATGGAGAGAGAAAAACACAAATTCCTCAGGGTTTCCTCTCCAGCTCAGGAAAAGGGCAAAAACAAAAGGTGTCCACTGACATCCATCCTGACGATGTCTGTCTTTTCAGCTTCTTGTGTTCGCGTTTCACTTGTTTTTGTTGCTTTTGTTGTTTCAGTCAGTAGTCAGTCATGAAAAAAGAAATCATATTTTCACAAGTGGCCCCATCAAAAACATGTGTAATATACACACTATATCACCTTTGAACTGTACACAGAAAATAAAAATGCTTTTGTGAAAGTGAAAATTTAGAAAAGTACAAATAAAAAAAAGATGTAAAAGAATGGTGACGAAAAAGAAGTCTGTTGAAGATGACATTCCTTGAAAACAAGAAGCCTCCGTAGGCAACAAGGCCATCGCAACAAAAAGGGGGGGAGGGGTTAAAAGCGGTGCTACGTTTGTCACTTGGTTGAAATGGTAAACATCCACTTCTTGCCTTGTGCCTGATGTGCTTTCATCTTTCTCTGTGCTTTTATTCCTCCTGACCTCCTCAAGAACCCATATGCCATCTTTGTCCCTTCCCTCGTCCGCTCTGTCTTCAACAAAAGGTCAGGACACTCCCTGCTCCTACAGAGTAAGAGCTCACCCTCATCCGCTCCCCATTATTTCTTGATCTCATCTCTCTTCTCCTCTCTAGGTCTCTGCGCACTCTCTCCGCCTGGTCATTTTCTCTCTTTCAATATTCTACTGCCCACTCCTCTCTCAGCCTTTCAAACACACTTCTTCATATCTACTTCCTCCTTATCCACTCACCGGTGCAATGGAGCTGACTTTGAAGAAATAAAGTGGTTTGAAAAAAAAAGAAAGAAAAGGAAAATGTCCGCATGCACATGCACAGTCTCTCTTTGTCACTCGACCTGACTTCATTTCTTAACCCCGTCTAGCTTCCCCCTTATTTTAGAGAACACAAATTTCCTGCCACTGGCTACAAGACCCGGTTTCAACATGCCACTTGCTGTCACCTTGTGTTAATCTGCTGTTGATCGCTTGCAAAAATAATCCCTTTCACACACGCACACTCAGACTCTCTCTTGCCCCCCCATCATCATAGTCTAACTAGACCCAGGAGTCAGGCGAGGCCGGGTAGTGGCTGGTCTCGTAGTTCAGTTCGCTGTACGGCCGAGAGGCCGAGTAGAAGTCTACGTAGTTCCCCGTGGATTTGAGGCCCAGATGCATGCGCAGGTCTTCCCGTGGGTCTCGGGGCGGTCCGGTGGAGCTCGGAGGCTGCTGGGGTTGGGCCTGAGGCTGGGCCTGCGCCTGGACCTGCGGCTGTGGCTGAGACGGAGGAGGCGGAGGCCCCTGGTCCTCGTAGTAGACCTCGTTGAAGCTCCGACTCTGGCTGTGAGGTGGAGGCTGCGGCGGCTGAGGCTGGGGGAAGGAAGGAGGGGGAGGGTAGGGGTCGTAATCTTTTAGCACGGCTGCTGGCGGGCTGTCCTGCTGGGGCTGGGGAGGCACGACGCAGGGCTGGGCCGGAGCCTGGTGAGGAAGTGTTGGAAGTGGTGGGTGGTGGGGTGGGGTAAGGTGTAGCAAACAAGAATGGAGAGTCATCAGGGAGGGAGATAAAGGTGAGGACATGGAGACAAGAGGAGAGTGGCAGGTGGAGAGTGAGCACATGGGGGAGAAGGTTTTGAAAAGGCAGGCAGTACGGGTAAAAAGGCTCAGATAGGAATCAATTGGGGAGGGACTCATGCTGTGAATTCTCTATTACATGCAGGTATCGAGGGGGGAAATTTATCTCTAACACTAACTCTCACAGGCTAGTTCTGTGTGTGTGTGTGTGTGTGTGTGTGTGTGTTCGCATGTAGATGTCTGCATGTGCAAAAGCCCCTTAGTTTGACTGTCAATGGTAAAATCAAAGTTTGTATTCACACAAAGGAACTTATACAATAATTACATATTTGATACATATGATCAAGAAATTTCCACTTCTAATATTCCCAGCCAAAGGCAGCGCTGCTCTCTGTTCCCCCTCCCTCGTCCCCAGCAGAGTCATTAAACAGAAGAAAATAATTAGCGCAATCGACTGAGGTTTCAGGCTGCAGTGGTTTGGCGCTGCCTGAGCTGAGGGCGTGTCTCTAATGCACACTCTGCCTCTTATCACAGCGAGACACCTTCTTGCCTGCATGTGTGTGTGTGCCTCTTCCATCCTGCTGCTATCTCTCCTAATAACCACCTTGTCATGACAGCATATGCCAATTTATGACAGCCCCCAACGACACGCATGCCCTGCTAAAACCTGCTGCGCTGGCATGTTACTGTGTGTATATGAAGGTGTGTAAGTGAGTAGTACATTTATAGAGTCCTATTAACTCACCTGGTTTTGCTTAATGTCATCGCTGGCAGTCAGGTAAGAGTTTCGGAACAACGTAGATGTCCCGCAGGATACTTGAACTGCATGGGTGGAGGACAGAGAAAAGAGGATGTGAATGAATACCACGACTTGTAATAATAATAATTCAAAGACCAACAAAATCGTGGGAAACTCCACAATTGGCTTAGTCAAAAATCAGCTAATTACAGCACAAATCTTACTGCAGTTTGTCTAAAAGTGTGGCAATTAGTCCGTCCCTTGTGACCTCATGAGAACATTGTGAGAGAAAGACAAAAAAGAGCAGAGGATGAAAGAAAAGAAAAGAAACACAGACAATGGGAGACAGAGAGAGGCAGAAAAAGAGACAAAGAGAGACAGGGAAGATAGCGAGAAAGCAGAGACAGAGATACTGGAAAGAAGACTGGCGAAGATAGAGAAAAAGAGAAGAGTGTATAAGGGAAGAAAAATAGTGTGAGGTCAAAGAAAAAAGATAAGGGGAGAAAGCGAGAGGAGAAATAGGGAATGAAAATAGAAGAGAAAGAAAGATAAAGTGGGGATAAAATAGAATCATTTAATTCTTCTCTGTCTCTCCATCTCACACACACACACACACACACACACACACAAGCGCGCACCTGCCATGCCGTCTTTCCGGGATGTGTGCTCTCCTTTGTTGCTATGGAAACCAGCGTTGGTTGCCGTGGAATCGTAGTCCATCTTGCGTTCCTTCAGACTCATCATCTCTCTGGGGGAGGCTGGAGCGCTCGCTACACACACACAAGCACACACACACGCATGCATGCACGCACGCACGCACAAACACACACACACACACACACACACACACACACACACACACAAAATAATGAGCAATAAACCCTGAACAGCATGTACCTCCACACTCTGCATGCTTATATTTGTGTGTGTGTGTGTGTGTGTGTGTGTGTGTGTGTGAGTGTGAGTGTGAGTGTCTTGGTTGTTCAAGGTGCACAGTCATTATTCATCATTTAGCTTGTCAGCATAAAGGGTCACCTCCAGCATGTTAAAGGACTTCTGGGAATTCACTCACGCACGCACACACACACGCACGCACGCACGCACGCACGCACACACACTAGTTTTGACACATTATTTGTTTCAATCTGGTTCACGTTTTCCTAAATTCAGACAATGTATTCCTTTTTTTTTTGGGCCTTTATGTGTTTTTAGCTCAGGTAAAATATCCAGATCTGAAACCAGGCGAGCTTGACATTACCAGCCAGGAAACAGAGTGAACAGCAGACAGCTGAACTCTGCTTGAGGCAACTGAGCTCTACCATCACAAAAACAGGCTTTATTTTTTTGTCCTGACAAAGGTTGACTACAACAATGTCAGGCCTGGCAACAAAACCCCAGTCCTGACAAAAAAACAGGGGGAGCTCTCAGGCAGACTCAACAACAACAACAACAACAACAACAGCAGCAACAGCAGCAGCAAATTACATACAGGGGCTATGATGCTGCAGTTTCCATGCCACGTGGAAAAGAAGTGTGTTGGTGATCAGATTAGGATCAGATCTTTAGGTTCAGTCAAGGTGACCATATCAGGGCTGCAACCAGTTTGAAAATAGAGCACAGTTCACAGCAGTGGTTCCCATCCTTCTTTGTCTGACTTGTCCTGAATGAACTCATGTACCCCTATCTCAACACCACCCATCATGCTCCCTTTGTGCTCTTTTAAAAAGACTTTAAAGACGTATTTCACTGCTGGAAATATGGTCTTTTCATAAAGCCCAGTTCAGACCAATGTTCTCAATGAGACGAAACCGTTTTAGAACGCTGCAAAGTTTAGTTGCAGCGGTGTGATCTAGCCGTCTGAGCTTGACTCAAACCGGCTAACGGTGCCACCTGCAACTCAGCTGGTCAAATTGCCTGCACCTGGTTTGAGACATAAGACATGTCGCCTGTTTCTACAGCCGATCGGCTTGTAGTGAAGTCCGCTGGTCAAGTCAAGATGACCGCAGATGGCGTGTTTGCTTGCTGCAGCATTTGCTCCGTCCCCACCGAGCCCTCTGTTTAAGACCTCCATTGTGCAGGTGTCAGACAGTGGGTCGCTGCTGCTGCTTGCTCTATGTGCTTATGCCCCGCCCACATGCTCATTCTCATTGAATAATTACTTGGCCCTGGCTATTTATATTATTGTAGCATATCGATTATGAATACAGTCCATATAATGCTGGTTTTGTTTTTGGCCATTTCACCACTATAATGCAGCTGTAGCCAGTATCTCACTATCACTATCCTCATTCATATTTTAAGAAGCTACAAATTATATTCAGCCACAAAATTAGCCTGAAAAGCTGGAAATCAGAACAGAAGTACAGAGAGTTGTTGCATAGAGATGATACACCGTCTCATCTAGTTGCATTGGTGTGAACCAGCAGGTTTTTAGAACGTTGCATAACGGCGCGTTGCAAGTAGTTGCCTCCTCTCGCCGCGAATCTTTGGTCTGATCTGGGCTAAAGAGATGCTAATGTAGTCACAAGATCATGATCCCTCACTGGCTTCCCAACATGTGAATACAGCTAGTAGCTTCTTTGCATATGACGTCAAACATCTGTGTCCAGATGTACGGCTGGCCAACTGGAGGCAAAGACAGCCAACACTGCACAAAAGCCAATGATGTGCGCTGTTTTGGGTTGTTCCAATTTTTTGGGAAAAAACAAGGGCCACTTTGCTTTTGCTCAAGAGGTAGAAAACTTACAACTACCAAAATGCACTGCACTGCAGCCGGCCAATAGACGCTCCTGCTGGTGGGTGAGGTAATGCGAGCTTGGATATTATAGGAAACAATATGGCGGCTGGCCAGTAATAAACAATTTCGAATAACAGCTAAACAGTAAGCTAAAAGTTTGAGGCATCTGAGGCAAGAAGTAGGCAACACAGTGACAGAATCTTGGTTTGTATTTTATAAGCACTGCTTATTTTTACTGTTTGATCTCACTTTTTTTAGACTCCATATTATAGGAAACAGTATGGTGTCCACTTCCTATTCACAAACTCTTGTGAACTGAAGTTATTGTTCTTGGCCCCAAACAACTCAGAGACTCTTTATCTGATGACATAGTTTCTCTAGATGGCATTGCTCTGGCCTCTAGCACTACCGTAAGAAACCTCGGAGTAATATTTGATCAAGATTTGTCTTTTAATTCTCATTTAAAACAAACCTCACGGACTGCATTTTTTCATCTGCGTAATATTGCGAAAATTAGGCCTATCCTGACCCAAAAAGATGCAGAAAAATTGGTCCACGCTTTTGTTACCTCAAGGCTGGATTAATGTAACTCTCTATTATCAGGTAGCTCTAGTAAGTCCTTAAAAACTCTCCAGCTAATTCAGAATGCAGCAGCACGTGTACTAACAGGAACTAAGAAACAAGATCATATTTCTCCTGTTTTAGCTTCTCTGCACTGGCTCCCTGTAAAATCCAGAATTGAATTTAAAATCCTACTGTTAACTTATAAAGCTCTAAATGGTCAAGCTCCGTCATATCTTAGAGCTCATAGTGCCATATTATCCCACCAGAACACTGCGCTCTGAGAACGCAGGGTTACTCGTGGTCCCTAAAGTCTCCAAAAGTAGATCAGGAGCCAGAGCCTTCAGCTATCAGGCTCCTCTCCTGTGGAATCATCTTCCTGTTACGGTCCGGGAGGCAGACACCGTCTCCACATTTAAGACTAGACTTAAGACTTTCCTCTTTGATAAAGCTTATAGTTAGGGCTGGCTCAGGCTTGCCCTGTACCAGCCCCTAGTTAGGCTAACTTAGGCCTAGTCTGCCGGAGGACCCCCTATAATACACCGGGCACCTTCTCTCCTTCTCTCTCTCTCTCTCTCTCTCTCTCTCTCTCTCTCGTATTCTATTACTGCATCTTGCTAACTCGGCCATTCTGGATGTCACTAACTCGGCTTCTTCTCCGGAGCCTTTGTGCTCCACTGTCTCTCAGATTAACTCATACCGCAGCGGTGCCTGGACAGTGTGACGTGTGTGGTTGTGCTGCTGCCGTGGTCCTGCCAGATGCCTCCTGCTGCTGCTGCCATCATTAGTCATTAGTCATACTTCTACTGTTATTATACACATATGACTATTGTCACACATGTATACTGCCAGATATTAATACATACTTTCAACATATTGTACCACAGTAGCCAGAACTATAACTATAATATTATTACTTTCAATAATGTTGTTGTAAGCTACTGTCATTACCTGCATCTCTCTCTCTCTCTCTCTCTCTCTCTCTCTCTCTCTCTCTCTCTGTCTCTGTCTCATTGTGTCATGCAGATTACTGTTAATTTATTATGCTGATCTGTTCTGTACGACATCTATTGCACGTCTGTCCGTCCTGGAAGAGGGATCCCTCCTCAGTTGCTCTTCCTGAGGTTTCTACCGTTTTTTTTTTTCCCTGTTAAAGGATTTTTTTTGGGGAGTTTTTCCTTATCCGCTGCGAGGGTCATAAGGACAGAGGGATGTCGTATGCTGTAAAGCCCTGTGAGGCAAATTGTGATTTGTGATATTGGGCTTTATAAATAAAATTGATTGATTGATTGATTGATTGATTGATTGTGCTACAGCCAAACAGTGCACTAAAATATGCATCTGAAAACATTTTTGGTGAGAACAGGATCTTGGTTTATCTTGGTTTATCTGGTTTAACTTGATCCACTTCTATACCTTTTTATGTCTGTATTGCCGGGCTTACAAAATGTGGAAGTACAATGTGTAGTTTGTGCAACAGCCCAAAAGCTAGTGAAGTTCACTTACATATACTATCGCCATTGTTGCAATACAAAACTGCTTGAAAATCAGTAAGTATTAAATTGAAATGGACATTAGTTAACACTATCAATTATATAAAAGTGGATATTGTTACCATATTTTAACATATAAAACATAGCATTGCTGCTAGTTTACTGGTTATTTTGACAATAATACACTTATGACTAGCCTTAACAACTGAACTATTAACTGAGCTTGATGGCCAATTTCTTCTACTTTCAAATCCAGCTGAAGTCTTCAAACCTCACAATCATTCTGTCTGTCACTTTGTCAAGCTTTTAGACCAGAGCTATTTCTCACACATGAATGCATCACCACACACATGCCTGTGTGCACCCATACAGGCACAGGCGAGGGCAGACCGCCACACACATACTGTACATACCATGTTTTTTCCGTCCTTCTCTCGCACACACACTCAGCATGTCACAATGTAATCCCCTCATAGCATACTTAAAGTGCTTACTCAGTCCCTGTTATCTTGACACACTGAATTGCCAGAATCCTGCCTACCTGTGTATCAGCCTCTTCCTCCTGCTTAGCTAAACAGTCCTGTAACGACCCACCACACATACAGGCTGGTATATATTCAGCATATATAATCCATACCCTCAGAAGTGAAGGGCATTCTGAACATAAGCTCTTTGGACCCGTTCAACCTAACTTTGAGAAGTGCAGATGACTGAAGGACTGAAGCCGCTGGAAGAAACACGTGCATCAATACTCAATATGTGTGTGTGTGAATACCCAACACACACTTTTAATGGAGAGCACCACTCTCAGTTGTGCAAGCAGAAACATTTCCCACGTTTCTGGAGGAGAAAAAAAAAGATGTAAGGCACGCCAAAAATCAGTATGAAAAAGCCTTTGTTCTCTTTGGCTGTTCTCCTATACCCAGATAATAGCAGCGGGGCAAAACACTTACAAATGTGACTAGCCAGACAGAATAAAGGCTTTTAAAGTGTTTTTTTTTTGAGTGCACTGGAATGTCACTTTATCTATTTGAATACTAAAGAACTAACTTCTTTTAATCCAACCCTTCAATATTTGACATTTAAAGCAAAGGAGCATTGTAACCTCTTATCTATTCTCCAGGTTTTTCGGCATCTTACCAAGACGACATGGGCACATGCATGATTAGTGCCTATTGAGTTGAGGTGAATGAAATTACAAACATTAGGAGCAGGAAGATAAACAGGGACACACACAGGAGATAGAGGCTTTTATAATGTTTTGACACTTTGATATTTAATTTCTATTTGTCACCTCTGCAGCCGATTCCATTAAGGCGGAGGCTCAATCTGTCACAAGCCGCCCCCAATAGACCGTGCCACTGCTTTTTACTATTACCGTGGGGACCTGGCTTGTAACTGCTGGATATGAGAGGCTGAGAGACTCGTTCTATCAGCGCAAAACACAGCAGGACCCTGTGGGGGCCATGATGGATGCAGAGGTCTCTCTCCCCCTTTGTTTCTCCCTCTGTCTCTCTGTCATCCTCGCAGCCTGCACCCCCACCACTCCTCACTATCTCTATCGCAGTTTTACCACTCTCTCCTCACACTAACTCTTTCGCTCCCTCCCTCTCCCAGTGTGCCTGCATGCCATCATTACTCCTCCTGCTTTGATCCATCTCTAAGGGGCCGGATTGCAGTCTGGAGCGTATGCAGAGAGGAGATACAGATGTATGTGGGTGTGTGTGTATATGTGTGTGTGTGTGTGTGTGTGTGTGTGTGTGTGTGTGTGTGTTTGTGTGTGTGCACTGAGGCAGCCTGTAAAGAGTGAGAGATCAGAGGAAGAGGTGAGAAGAAAGTAGGATTACTGCAAAGAGGAGGAGGAGGAGAAGAATGAAACGGGTGAGCGAGAAGGGGAGGAAGAATGGAGAGGCAAAGGGGGAGGCGAGGAGTGCTGAGAGGGGAGGAGCGGGAGGGAAGATGGAAGTCCCCCCTCCACCTCCTCCACTGTACTACAGACATCCACAAATTTCTCTACGCACTATGATCTCAAAACTCCTTATTTTCAATGTCGCTGGCCAAAGTCAAATCCTCATCCTTCACTTCCTCCTCACTGCATTAACTATCCCTCAATCCCTAATTCTTCTTGCCTCCTTGCTTTTTCTCTTTATCTCCCTCTCTGTTTATCTCATCCCTCCCTCTTTCTCTGTCTCCTCTCTCTCTCTCACACACACAAACACACACTTTTCTTACCCTTCTCTCACTCCCTCTGTCTCTCCCCCTCTCTCTTTTAGCTGGGTCCTTGAAGACCTCTCTAAGCCGGGAGGAAGGAAAAGTACTTTTCTGCCTCATCAGCTTGCTAAGCCCGGTGTGGAGAAAGCACAGCCAAAGGCTCTTCTACTACTGATGCTAACAGCTAATGCTAATGCGCCCTTTGCTAAGCATGAAGGCCAATGGGCTCAAGCTAAAGGCTAACGATAATCATACTTTACAGCATGAAAGCCTGCGGGTGGTGAGCGCTGACGCTAACAGCTATTTAGCTCTGATGTAAAGATTGATTGACTGGTAAATGTTGATGCTGCCGGCTAATGTCTAAATTAGAGCTCATTAGAATCCAAGTGTGACCTGCACCTTCTGGTTTCACTCATGTCCCACATACATTATATTCTTGCACCTAACAAGGAGAACCTTCTGTCACAAGTGCAAGACGAGAACAATAACTTATAACTTAATTATACAACCTTAAAGAGGAGATGAGACACTGAACGATATGACTGTGGTTTGTTTGAACTGTAGCCCATTTAAGGCAACATATGACACTGAATACGAACTTGATATCTACGTAGGTTTGCTAACATACTAGATGGTGTTTCACGGTTCCACCAGCAGGGTACAGCCATCTTGCAACAAGCTCGCTGGTAACATTACCGGGTTGGTTGTTAGCCGTGAGCGCTGAATACAACATTTTACTTAAGAATACTTCAACTAGTTTTTAACTTAATAGTGTTGATACAGTGAAGTCTGAAAGTTAAAAACTGTCTGCTGATGCTTTTTGAGCTGATAAGACCACAAACAGTGGTAAGACCTGCTCCCATGGAGTCGGACAACAGTGGCGAAAGTGCAAGTGAAGAATGTTAGGTTGACAAGATCACAAAATATGTGCTATACCACTGTCTCCATCAAGTTGTCGGACCACAACAACAACGAGAGAACTTTATGTTAATGTTTTTATGTCGCAGCTAACATGGCTAATGTTAGCCTACCCCAGCAGTCATGTCCACAAGCCACCTTATATCATGATCAATATTATTCTCACCTTTAGAAGCCGAGTCAAATGTTGTTTTCTGCATCACAAAGCATCGGTAAAATAAATTAACTGTATGACCCACCATCGGTTGAACTGTTGGGGCTGAGTGTCACCTGTATTTGTCCTGTTTCTCCTTGTGTGTTCCAGTTAGATAGTTGGTGGCGGTGCCAGTTTGGTTAAGCATGAGCACGTCCTTTTCTCAGTGTGTATAAAAGACTGTTATCCTTGACATGAAGACACCAACAAGATCTTGCTGGCTCTTCGATAAAACTTTGGAAAGGAAGAGCTTCCACCTTAGCAACAAAATTGGCTTATAAGGTTAGGCTGCTTGATGATGTTAGCTTCAGTTTACTCTCACTGCTTTCATAAGTCTCCTCTCCCGGTATTGTATATCCATAAGAGTTAACTCTTATTCTTTCATCACAACAAGGTGGATCTGGCCCCTGCACCACCACCAGCGATGCAACATGTATCCCATCTGTCAAGCGCTACACGACTTCATGTACATTCTTCAACTACTCTACTCAAAGCATCTCATACAATGGCTGTTTGAGTAAAAGGAGCTCTGGTCTCATTTCCTCCTAATTTTCTGGGGGGGTTGACAGCCCACTATGTCTATGCTCCTTTTCAACCAACTTTTGCACCTGAACTTCTCAAGACCCCAGTGATTTAGACCAAATTTAACCTTAACTCTAAAATTCAATGAACGTCTTAACAGGAGACTTTCAACTAGAAAATATACCATCAGTTGGAAGGCCTTAAACTGAAACTGGTTTTTAAGAGAACCAAGGCACCAGAAGAAACACACACACACACACACACACACACACACACAACAAATACATAATCTCTGTATTGAAAGTGTCATATATTCCTCACCAGAGCGGTTATTTGGGGACGTCCTGACAGGGGACACGGAGGGAGTTCGTGAGGAGGAGTAGGGCCTCTGTCTGTCTCTCTCTATCGTTGAGGCAGAGCCCACAAAGTGATACTGGGAGTAACCATCCTGCAAAGAAACACACAGACACAAAGTTTAGGCAGCTGCACAAACTCAAGCTCCAATGTGCAGTTGATGAAGTGTTTTGTTTAGGTCTAAAGTCGCAGTCATATCTGTAAGTATCTGACATCATGGCATATTTTATATGGCAAGATCACTTGATTTCATTACTTCTAAATATCAGCCATCCTTACCCCATACTAGGTGAGACAAAGATTTATTCTAGACATTTAAGTAATATATATATTTTAAACTACTCATGTAAAACCATCCATTAATCCTCTGCTTTGAAATACTCATCTGAGCAGGTTTGTGAATTCCAGTGGACAAAAAGCAATAAAAACTACTTCAAACAATCTCAAGGACAGAGCCAGTTCAGTAAGTGCGCGATAGAAAGTAGCACTACGACAGTAGCTACAACACTGTTTCAATATTGATGAATCACAGAGCTGTGTTTTAAGTGTCAAGGTTTGGAGATAAAGCACTATGTACTCATACTGCAGCACTTACTCACTCAAGAGCATAGAACTGTTCAAGGCCGGGGTTTGAGGAACAATTGGTAGATGAGACTTCCTATTTGAAGACACGCTCATATAACTTTGTACATATGAAATAATGAATGCAATGTTTAGAATCTAGTGGCCACAAAGTGCCGATTGATCTGAAAGGCACACACTGTGAGCTGTGTGTTTCATTAAAAAAAACATTCAATATTGAGTTTCTTGAGTTTACCACCCAGTTGTCGGCGAGTCCAAAATGTATTCTGGACACTAAAGTACACTGACAGACACACAACACCCACACATGCACATACAAGAGTCCGCACGCCACGAAATTAGCACACTTGCATCAAGCCCGAGCTTATTGAATATCCCACTGTCCTTGTAGAAAACAAAATAATGCAACTAACAACTTCACAAGCGTAATTACTGCCAAACCAATGACTTTGTATCTGTATTAGTTTAGCAGTGATTGGAGCAAAGCCCTTTTCATAAAAATGGATTATGAGAGTCAACAACAATCACAGAGCTGGAACCAAATTCAATTTAGCATTAAGATAATTGGGTACCTCTGAAAGCAAAGCACCAGCACATGATAAAAGATAATGCAGACATGTTCCATCATAGTTCTTACTATCTGGGGGCCTTGGCTCAGCAGTGGGAAAACTGGGTGGACCGACTACGAGAGGCGAATCACTTTGGTGCAAGTTAGACTGGAGAGGAGGAGGAGACGGAGAGGAGGAGAATGAGACGACTGAGAGATGGAGGAGATGAGGCAGAAAGACGGAGGGAGGAGGGCTAGACAGGGTAGAAGCTGAGAAAGACAAAAGATGACAGAAAGTAATGAGAGCAAGGAGGAGGAGGGAGGTGGAGGGAGAGTAATGACAGGAGAGTAAAGACAGCAAGTGGAGGGAAGAGGTAACGAGAGGGAGAGTCAGAGAGAAGGAGGCTGGACTGAGAACAGTCCCATGTCCTCCCCTGACTCCTATTTCCTGGCATAGCGCTGAGGACTAATAGAAAGCTGGATCTTCCGACACACGGTAGTTCAAAGGTAGCTCACTTCAAGTCTCTGCCATCCCTCCCTCTCTCCTTCCTACTTCATCTATTTATCCACCACTCCCTTCGGTTTTCTCGCTCACCTTGTTTTACATTCCCTCTCTCCTCTCCCCACCCTCGCCGACACATCTCATTATAAACCATGTAACCTCCTTATGGAACACTGGGCCGCTGTGCAATTGGACACTGTCAAACTGTCATGCTGCTCAAATGAACATAGTCGCTGAATATTGAATGATGAATGTATTTTGCAGAGTGATGTGTGCAGTCTGCTGTCGCACAAATGTGGCTCACAAATGGGGTCCAGGAAAGAACCACAGGGGTCCTTCAGGAGCCCCTCTGAGCAAAATGAGGAATAGTTAAGCTTTGCAGTAATTGAATTTGGAAGGATGATCATAATCAGAGAAGAGCGTATCGAAGAGAATAAATTAAAATGTATTAAAATGGCTGTCATAGCCAAACATTTCTGCCTTGTTATGTCTCCCAATAAACGAACTTTACACCTTAACTTAGAGTTCGTTCTCTTTGTTTCCTCTTAAAGGTCCAGTGCGCAGGATTTAGGGGGATGTATTGGCAGAAAACATTTTGGGTTTACTTGACCTTATATTTTATTCTACTTAACTTAAACCTGATGTCCTCCTTTGTGGACACCTTTTTGTGCCATCTAGTGGTAGTAAAAGCACAATACACTAATCCATGTAAAAACAAGATGACAGCCATCTCTAGCAAGTCAGTCTGCAGCTGATATTTATGATTAATAATGTTCGAAGTTTGATGTGGCAACAAATTCGACCACTTTTAGCAACAGTAAAAAGCTAAGACACTGTTAACTAGGAAGTGCTCGTTTGAAGACTGTAGCCCTTTTTAAATAGGAATTGCGCAAATCTGCAGGAAAGCCCAATCAGTCTTCTTTCAGCATTGGCAGTATAAAAACAAAATCGGGGAGTGCAGCAAAATGCAGCCTACCTACTTTTGTATATACAGAATGAGCCATTTTCAGGGCAATGGGGGGCGTGAGCAAGAAACAAAACGTGTAGCTCAGCGTGTGACGTAAACAGTGACGTGGGAGGGAAGCCGTGGCTGGTCAGTCCTTCTGCAATTCTCTCGTAAGTTAGCCAGTTCCCGTCATCTGACGGTTAATGGCCTCTTCGTTTGCGAGGACAAGGAGGGCGTGCAATTCCTTGTCTCCCCAGTTGCTCATCTTTACAGTGTCTGTCAAGTTTGCGTTTCCCTCTTGCTACTAGCTGATCACTAATTCCTTCTATCAGCTGTTTCCTGTTTATCCACCGCCAGTGGCTCGCACGTGCGGCGTCATCAACAGCTCCTCCCACAAGTCTTCAACAGCCCCTCCCGTTGCAGAAGGCCACCTCGGTCTGTTTAAACTAAAAGGATTCCGCCAATATGACTACCCTACGAGGCGGAAAATTGGGTGCCTCGGATCAACTCGCCAATCCGGCTCTGTGTGTCTAAACGCTCGCAGCTGGCCGGCAAAACAGCCCAACATTCGTGGAAAATCTGACAGTGTAAAAGGGGCTATCAGGACGTTATTGTCATCTTGTTTTAGGACATCAGGTCTTCATTATCATTGGCAATGGTTTGTCCTTTATACTCATCAGGTACTACTGATCCCAAATTATTGGGAGAAATTAAAAAAGCATACCACACAAAAGTTCAGGTGTCAGGAGGATATAATAAGTATGTTTTCTTCAGTGTATAATCACCTGAAACTAAGAATCGTGTTTTTGTTACCTTCGAATGAGCCGTTTATATCTACGTAGGTAACAGGTCCTCACCCATAGAGATTGCCAGGTTGCACTGCCATCTTTCTACAGTAGCCCAGAATGGACAAACCAAACACTGGCTTTAAATACGGCAGCTTGCATGTTCACATCGGCCACCATAGCTAGAAGGCCCTCTGTGATGAGAGTGTCACTGATTTCTTTAACGTGAAACTGCTTTTTTTGTGGCGTTTTTACTGGTTTAAATCATCAGTCCGTTTGTTCTGGAGAGGAGGAGACCTCTGCGGATAATCTGGCTCACGGTACAAGCCTCCTCATTGTCTGGATCAGAAATAAGGTGAGCACACATTAAGTCCTCAGAGAAAATTGGTGAACACACATTAGCAGATGCTGAGTGAGCAGCCCATCTGGGAAGTGCCAAACAGTGTATAGAAAACAATGCTTTATTCAGTGTTCTTACCAGTTGTGATCACCTAGTTCATTTGTTTTGCAGCAGAAGAGACCTCTGTGGATAATTCAGCTCCTGGTAAAAACCTCCTGAACAATAACCACTGCAGGAATTAGAACTGAAGAAGCCTCTTGGATGAGAGGCGAAACGTCTTCAAGAAACGCAATCAAGTCCAGTTGCCTATGATATGATTACCATGACCTGGATGACTGAGAATCTTCACTGACACTGAAGGAATTCTAACTGGGAGAAGTTTCCCCTGGTTGCAATCTGCAGTTCTCACCACTAGATGCCACTAAATCCCCCTAAATCTTACACACTGTTCCTTTAAGTAGCTTTAAGGTTAGAAAAAACATTATATTCCATACTGTCTCAAAGTAAACTGTATATTCTGTATCAGCTCGTTCCAGCTCTACATTGATTTTTTTATGATGTTTACAGCGTGAAATATTCAAACCCATGATTCCCCATAATTCCCCCTGACAAACTTGGTTTCGTTGGAAACTTTGGGATATCCACTAAAATGTGAAATAAAGTTCTGTGAGTCTGAGCATCGATTGGTTACACAGTTCTAGTCTGTGATGTCTGGCCCACCAGCCAGTCAGTGAGGTTTAATGGGTTCGATAAATATTAAATCAACATCAAAATTTCAGATAGGACCAAATCAGACAGCAGCTACTTTTTTTTGCATCATTTTGCACCATATCCAAGGTGCAATGCTTGTTTAGTGCCACTGTGTGCTGTGAAAGCTAAGCTAACAATATGTCCCCACACCTATAAATGTCAGCTCCGTGTGGAGAAGCCTATCTCTCATGTTCTCACCTATTAGCATTGTCTTACCTGTTTGTCCTTCTCTTTCCACCCACCTCCTCTTTCCCTCTCACACTCTCTAACACTCCTTTCAGAGCTGGTTGCGAGGCAACCATTTTGCCTGTTGCTCTCACCGTCACTGGGAGTTGAAGGTCGCAGGACTGTGAGGTAAAAAGCGATTACTGCCCCAACAAATGAGGTGTGTGTGTGTGTGTGTGTGTGTGTGTGTGTGTGTGTGACTGGCGGCGCTCATGCCAGACAGCAATTATGGCAAAAATTGTAAAAGGTTACACATGATGAGTGGTGGTTCCCCTCTGGGCCTCGGCCACCACTGAACATTGTCATTTTTTTTTTTCACTCCCTCAATCCGTTTCTCTCTCTCACTCATTTCACACTCCGATTTTCAGATTTACAGTAGCGAGCGCTTCACTCGCACGTGATCCATCCATCCTCGCT